TACCATACCATACCATGCCCAGTACCATACCATACCATACCATGCCCAGTACCATACCATACCATGCCCAGTACCATACCATACCATACCATGCCCAGTACCATACCATACCATGCCCAGTACCATACCATACCATACCATGCCCAGTACCATACCATACCATGCCCAGTACCATACCATACCATACCATGCCCAGTACCATACCATACCAGCAATTTATCAGCAAACGAAAGAAATAAGCAAGCAACGAGTCGACTTACAACAAACAGCAAGAAAACTAGCTAATGAAATAGAATATTAAAAAATGATACCTTAATTGCATAAACTTGACATGTATATCTACTGTTTAATTATTTAAAGTTCCCTTGGTGGCTCTTTCTTCGTTTAAAGTAGTTGGTAAAGGGCCAGAGACGATTGAATTTTCCTGGACTGGCATCTCTGACTCCGAGATAAATGGTGTATTRAAAGGGTACAAGTTCTACGTAAGAAAGTGTGGTTCATCTGATGAATCTGTTTGGACTTACAACACCAGTAGTCAAATAAACGGCATTACTTATTATGGTTTAACACCCTTGACGTGCTACAATGTCAGTGCAGCACAATTTACCGGGAAAGGGCCTGGGAAGCGAAGTGAATGGGACAATGGAAATACAACTGAATCAGGTAAATACTGTATAATCCATTTTTTAATAATCGCTTCATCTATATATCATAAAGACATGCCGAATGAGGAAAGGAATTTCAATAATTGTTGGACGCAAAGGATTTTTAAAATTCCAATGCTCTATGCTTAATCAATTTGTTAGGAACAGCCGTTCCTATATACCAAACGAAAACTGATAAGCTACATTTTTGTAATGTTTGGAATCTTTGTAAAATCCCTTGTAATTTTCTCCTAATTGCCCACAGTTTTTTCTCGAAATTGCTGYTTTTCAACTTCCCCCGCGATAATATTTTACGGTCGCTATGTTGACTAAAAACTACACAAAAATGTCTATTGATATCTCTTCTGTCATTACCCGTTAGAATAGTTAAACMAACTAAACTCTGGKTATGAWAATKTTGCAATTTAAAAGTCACACTTGACGGTTTTTGCCTARTTTTACTGTAAAATTRCCGTCACGAATCAATGCGCGCATTCAAACTTCGCGCTAGTACCATGTAAGGTCCCGGATGGATGTCAGTCAATTCTGCCCGATGCGTTATTGGAACAAAAAAAATTCAAGGAAAAATGAGCGTGCTGTTAAGGCAGAAATTGCGTACTTCTTACATGAGGAGCAGCTTAGAGAGGGTTGAGTAGGGTATGGGCTACTAAACAAAGGCTTTTACAAAAATAGCAGGTGGGTCAATAATAAGTTTTTTTCTTGTTAACAGTTCCGTCTGAGTCTCCAGAGAACATTGCAGCATACAATACGAGCTCGACGTCAATTAATATAACATGGGGACAAGTTCCTGAAGATGATCGCAATGGTGTTGTAATTGGCTACAAAGTGGTACTAGTGAATGGTGAATCTAACATTACCATCTCAACAACYGTCGTAGATGTTTTAACTAAGCATCTGGAAGTCACAAACCTAGAGTATTACACGTTGTATTGTGTTCGGGTTTTAGCTTTTACTAGAGTAGGGAATGGTACCTTGAGTCGTTGTGTCATGGTCTTTACTGAAGAAGACGGTAAAT